AACCACTGTGCTTGACCAAATTGTGGCTCACAGACTTCCAGGGACTTCAACAACCAGATGGAACTTTCATAGCCGTGCTGTTAACACAGTGTTTGAACACAAGGATGACCTCATCAAGTGTTTCCAAACTATCAGAGACTCTGGTGACTTTGATCCAATCACTGTCAGAGAGGCAGGGGGCTTTGTGAGAATGCTGGAGGAAGAAGATTTCTGCTTTCTCCTGGCCTTGTTTCACAAGATCCTGCCACATGTGGACATGCTGTTTAACCAGCTACAGAAGAGGAACATCGACTCTGTCTACATCACAGGAGTCATCCAGACGTTCACCAACAGCATGCAAAAGATCAGGTGAATAATGATTTATCATTATTGTAATAAAAGTCTCCAGTATGTTAGTTTTTGAAATAGCGATTGTGGATGCTAACCTGTGTTTCTGATTAGGGACTCCATTCCTTCTCTGAATGAGGAATACAGCGCATCTGTGCAGCAGCACTCCACAAAGAGAAGGAGGAAATTTGGACAGGGAGAACGACAGCAGTTGGCTTCAGAGGTAAGCAGCAATATTACAGTCCTGTTTACAAGACACCCAGTAGGTGTTTTTACCGTACCTACCTTTTAATTTATTGATATGTAAAATGACTATATGCTATATTTCTCTGTCTGCCGTCCTCAATTCCTGTGTATTAATAAGAGTTACACATTTGCTTTTATTATGCTATATTGTAATCACTGTGCAGCTACTGAGGAAGGCAGACACTGATCTCACCTTGTAAGAGAATACTGATGACATTATTTACTATGGTAAGGTTTACTATGTGTACTTACCTTTTTTTATTATTATTTATGTATCATGTCATAGGTATGTGGTACCATTCTGAGCCATGCCAAAGAGCGGTTCTCATTCACCAAGCACCTCATCAGTGCCACTCTGCTACATGGAGACTTGTTTGTGCAACACACTGCACAGTTCCCAGATGCAGCACTGGAAACTACCGTTGAGGCCTACCCCATGTTGAACAAAGCCAAGCTGAGAACAGAGCTATCCCTCATCTATGAGAACGACGAGTTCAAGGCCTGCAGTGGTGCACTGACTCTATTCCAGTTTTTCATGGAGAACAACCTTCAGGGCACGTTCACTGAGACTGTAAGTCTTCTCAAGATTCTCATCACCACACCCATGACAACAGCAGAATCAGAAAGATGCTTCTCTACTTTAAAGAGAATCAAAACTTTCCTGAGGAACACCATGACGCAGGATCGCCTGAATGCACTGGCCATGCTCTCCATGGAGAAAAAACTTGTCAGAAACATTCCTGACTTCAATAAAAGGGTCATTGAGCTCTTTGCCACACAGAAGGACAGAAGGGCAAAATTCCAGTACAAATAAGACACACACACACACACACACACA